GTAAGACGATAAACTACATCCAGCAGCAAGGCCTCTGATTAGAGGGTTTTGAGGAGCATGGAACCACTTCTTAATTGCTGGTGTTCCCAAGTCCACCCTGACCCAGGGTGGTAGCACCTGTTAGGGTCCAAGCTATGGGAAAATAGGTAACTATTACCAGAAATACGTTTTTTAAAATAATCATTACCAGCAATACAATTTTGAAGGAAAAATATTACAAGAAACAGATTTTTGACAAAACAAAATATTACCTGCAATAAAAAATGTTGTTGGCATTAAATAACCCATTGAGGTTGATATGCCCTAAAACAAAATAAACCAAACCATGGATATCTTATCTGATGATGGTACGAGATTGTCATCGAAATATTTTTTAATCATACCCCCCATGCAAGCCAATAGAGCCACAAATAAAGTCACAAGGGGTTGCTGAGTGTGAACGAATAATAAAAAAGAGAAACATTATTAAGGAGCAAAAAGAATGGAAGCGTAAACAGAAAGACATTAGATAATGATTGACATTACATTGGACTTTTTGAAGATCAAAGTTGGCTGGAATGCATGGAGCCGGAAGACAGTTCCACAAGCGAGAAGTGTCAGTGAGGAGACTGTTAACATAGAACTTACGGCTACATCCAGCCAGCTCAACTGTAAATTGATGAGACCTTGCATTCTGGGTATGATGATAAACTAAATCCGGCAGCAAGGCCTGACCGGGAGGTTTTGAAGAGCGTGGAATCACCTTTCAATCGCCGTTGTTTTTAGGTTCACTCTGACCCGGGGTGGTAGTACCTGTTAGGGTCCTAGCTATGGGCAAATAGTGACCCCCCCTCCAAACTAAAATTGGAACACTATTTTTGTGATGTCAACGAACACTCGTTGCCACTTTTGTAATATCAACGAGTACTCGTTGTCACTTTCGTAATGCTCTTTGTAGTAGAGACCTTGTAATCGCAGATACAACTATAGTAACGCCGTTGAACTATACTGGTGTCAGACGCCTTCGAATATCACTCGCACTAATAGTATTTGCTCGATAATACTCGCTCGAAAAGTAACCACCGTATAGTAATCCGTATAGTGATCAGTATAGAGAAATAGTGATCAGTATAGAGAAATAGTGATCAGTATAGAGAAATAGTGATCAGTATAGAGAAATAGTGATCAGTATAGTAATAGAGGATAGAATAGAAATAGTGATCTCTTAGACGTCACATTACTTCCTACTTATGCGTTTTCCCCCATAGTCAAGTGATCTACTTAATTCAATAATGCGACCGCCTATATTTGTTCTCTGGCGATTCGTGTTCAAACTCCAGTGTCGGCAGCGACACTTTATTCTTATATAACAACTATGAAGGTATAAACATAAATTTTATAGTAAAAATACCAGCGATTCGTTTTCATAATAAATTAAGTTATAAGCAATCCGTTTTTGTATTCAGTTGTGAAAGCAGAGTAACATATCTTATTACTCCAAAGCTCCCAAGAAGAGTACATCGCAGCATTAAATGACCCCTGAAGGTGTTGATATACCGTTAAACAAACAAAACTAAATTGATGAGACCTTGCCGCCAATCTAGCACAGCGCTTAAATCCATAAAGTCTAGGTTCCAAAGCGAAGAGTTATCCGAACAATGACCATCAAATTATTTATAGAAAAGGCACAGGGAAGCTATATAACAGCAGTAGAAAAGTGATTGAGATGCCAGGTCAGGACCAATAATTTGGCTGATTCTTCTTTGGATTTTATCAAGAATCTCTAAATACATAGAAGCACCAGACCAGATATGGCAGCAGTATTCAAAGCAAGAACAAATAGTACACGTATAAATATATGATACATTCCGGTGGGGAAAATTGTTTTTCACGTCACAGTGAACAAATCTTCCTAGGAACAGACCTTAGCAGTTGATTCAATATAATCTTTCCACTTCATGTCAGTGGGAACGTTAGTTCTAGAAGACGCAATGAAGTCTGGATTTTATCAATAATCTCCAAATATATAGCAAGAGCATCGAACCATAAGTGGCAGTAATATTTTAAGCATGGACGAATGGTAGACTTATGAATATGTCAGATAGATTCTGGGTAGAGAAATTGTTTAGCATGACACAGGAAAACAACTTTCATCAGTTTAAATAAAAATGAATTTACAATTCAAACATTCTATCGAAATTACTCTTTCATGGCGAAGTTCATGGCATTTATTTTTACTCTCCATATTTAATTAGCATGGCTTAGTAAGGCACAAGCTCAAACGAAGAAAATAGTCTAAGAAGATTGTATTCCGCCAATTTGTCAAGTAGAGAGAGCTCGACTTGAATTTTTATAAAGATTCTTATAATTTTTTATTTATTTTTTAGTTCGACTGAAGTCCAACTGGAGTATATGAGGCTAATGAAGATTGTATATCTCGGATGTTCCTAGATGCGTGTGTCTGGTATAGTGACTAGCGCGTCGGAACGAGAAATCAGAGATCCGAGTTCGAATTCAAGTCAGATTCATTACATTCACTTACGCGCAAATACACTTGAAAAAATAGGAATCCATCTCTTCCCCTACAGTTATGAGTTAAATAGTAAGACTTGTATCTAGAAAAATCATTATTCCAAAAAAAAAAAAGAATTCTTTCTACAATCCAAAATATATTTAGTCATTAAATAACACACAAAGGGTTGAATAACTGTAAAAAACAAAAACAAAACAAAAAAAAAAAAAAAAACCCAAAACAAATCAATCTCTGATCTTCCATATGTAGAAGCGTTTGTGAGCTGCCTTGCAAAAAATCAACATTCAAAGTCTGGGCCTTATTCCAGACTCGAACATTTATTACTTGGGCCACTATTTCACCGATGAAGCCAAACAGGACATTTCTTTATCGATTCATAACAATTAACACAAAAAAATTTACCAATGATTAGCTCAATTTATAGTTTTTGGCAAACAATGGTCGATTTTTCAGATCGATTATTCAGCCATATTTTTTTCGTTCTTTTTCACTTTGGAAAGTTTAAAAGCGATTGAACGATTTTGTTTTGTTAACTAACAAATTCCTTCCGGCGTTTTTATTTTTGTGGATCGCGTTTAAACGAAAACATGGCATTTTATTTTTAGTTTCGGGGCGGAGGCAATCTTCCAAAATATTGACTTAGTAAATATTTTATTTTTCCCGCTGTGTCTATTTGGTAAGCATTTTGATGGGAAAAATACGATATAGAAACAATATATCAGACTCATGGTGGGGAACTGAATAATAAAATGGAAAAAGAATTATTTACGTTATTTACATTGTTCGGACTATGGTTTTCATCTTTATTGTCATATTCATGACGTCCCCAAGGACACATGGCCCATTTGATAAAAGTGTTGGTTGACGTAATCCAGTGACATAACCGAAAGTGTTGTGAGTTCAGTCCCTGGCCACAGTAGAAGTAAACAAAATCTTGGAGAGTTGAGTTGCTAAAGGGAAATAACTGAAACTGATATATCCAAATAAGATGGAACTAAAGTGGATTAAATGAAGAAGGTCGGAGCGTACGACGGTCGAAACGTCGTCAATATGGCAATAAATATGAGGACAACAGCTCAAACAATGTAAATAGTGCAAATAGTTAAATTACTTCATGTCAAATATTGGGAAAGAATTCTATTTAACGTGTTTCGTCCTTCAAAAGGACTTCATCAGACTAAAATATCCTTATTGATGGAATTATCTAAATGTAAAATATCGACAAAAACTTCTACTATAATTATATATCAGAAGCTTCTAATTATCCATTATAACTGCCGGTTTTGTTTATATTAACGCCCCCCCCCACGTCCTTTCATAGGCTAAATATGAATTAATTCCTCACTGTCTGCTTCAAGAATATCTTTGAGTCAAAGAAGATGATTTTCCGCATATATTGAATTGTAAGACTTCATCTTAATTCTTTTTTGGTGTATTTACATAATTTACAGTCGGAATAATGCCGCCATTTGTTGTTGCTGCTATCACAACCTTTCAGCTGTTGCTGTCTTCGGTCTTCTTCATGTGTCTTTCGATACGTGTATTCATCGATTCCTTCAAGGAATTTCAAAATGAATCAGGTGGTAGTTTGCTTTCATCCTACTGTTCCTTTCTAGGGATATCTCGTCCAGTTCTTTTTTTAGTACTAGGGTCTGTAATGTTATGAGTTTTGATCTGGCATCTCGACTCCAGTCACATTCTCATGCTGAATCTTCCTTGTATCGTTTCTACAAATATTTTCATGGCAATTGTTCTAATGAACTCCCCTCCTTGGTACCTCGACTGCATGAATTGAAGCGTACTGCTAGATTGGCTTTTAGGTCTCATCGTTTTACCGTTAAAATAGATATATGTAACCGTAAGTTCTAGTTTAATAGTTTCTTTTCTCCTACTTCTCGCCTCTGGAACTCTCTTCCGGATTCTTGCTTCCCTGCCAACTACAATTTTCAAACATTTAAATGCGACGTCTTAGTGACATTATCGCCTTGGCAGTGGTGAAATGATAAAAAAATGCAACAGTTATGGCTGGCTCAATTTCCACTGAGTCACTTCTAACCACTCCACGGATTAAATAGTCTCCAACTTCACGAACCAACGTCTTATTCTTCTAAGTCCTGGAACTAGAACTTGGGTCATGAAACCTAATTATTAAATAGGGTCAGCTATTTAACGATTTGGCCTGGATAAGGTCATCTGTTTGCCTTTCTGGCTTGAGTATGACAAATTTTTAGTTAGATAAGGTTATACTGTATCGGGTAATATATTTGGTCTTGTCAGTCTATGGTGACAGTCTATAGCTTGGATGATCTGATATGTCTATCTCGTTTAAATATGAGGATTTTTGTGACTACATCTGCTAGAGAGTGTGATCATTTTGACCCATCTAAAATAATTTATCTCGCCACATAGATCGAAGAGGGTCATCTAGATAGTGAAATAAATACGATGGTCTGGCCTAGCAAGATATACCATGGATGATCTGGCGGACCTAGCGTGATATTCAGTGAGTGATCTGGCGGACCTAGCGTGATGTTCCGTGGGTGACTGGAGGGCCTAGCGAGATATTCAGTGAGTGATTTTGTGGGCCTAGCGAGATATTCCGTGGGTGATCTGGAGGGCCTAGAGAGAGATTCCGTGGGTTATCTGGTGGGCCTAGCGAGGTATTTCGTGGATGAACTGGTGGGCCTAGCGAGATATTCCGTGGATGATCTGGAAGGCCTAGCGTGATATTCAGTTAGTGATCTATCCGGCCTAGTGAGATATTGCGTGGGTGATCTGACGGGCCTAGCGAGATATTCCATGGACGATCTGGCGAGAGTAGCGTGATATTCAGGGGGTCATCTGGCGGGCCTAGAGAGATATTCCGTGGATGATCTTGCGGGCCTAGCGTGATATTCAGTGAGTGATCTGGTGGGCCTAGCGAGATATTCAGTGAGTGATTTTGACGGATTAGCGAAATATTCCGTGGGTGATCTGGCGGGCCTAGCGTGATATTCACTGGGTGATCTGGAGGGCCTAGCAAGATATTGTGGGTTATCTGGCGGACCTAGCAAGATATTCCGTGGATGATCTTGCGGGCCTAGCGAGATATTCAGTGAGTGATCTGGCGGGCCTAGCGAGATATTCAGTGTGTGATCTGGCAGGCCTATCGAGATATTCCATGGGTGATCTGGCGGGCCTAGCGAGATATTCCGTGGGTGATCTGGCGGGCCTAGCAAGATATTCACTGGGGGATTTGGCGGGCCTAGCGAGATATTCCGTGGATGATCTGGAAGGCGTAGCGAGATATTCCGTGGGTTATCTGGCGGGCCTAGCGTGATATTCAGTGGATTATCTGGCGGACATAGCGAGATATTCCGTGGGTTACCTGGCGGGCCTAGCGAGATATTCCGTGGGCTATCTGGCGGGCCTAGCGAGATATTCAGTGAGTGATCTGGCGGGCATAGCGAGATATTCCGTGGATGATCTGGAAGTTGTAGCGAGATATTCCGTGGGTGATCTGGCAGGCCTAGCGAGGTATTCATTGGGTGATCTGGAGGGCCTAGCGAGATATACTGTGTTTGATCTGGCGTGCCTAGAGATATATTCCGTGGGTGATCTCGCGGGCCTAGCGACATATTCCGTGGGTTATCTGGCGGGCCTAGCGTGCTATTCAGTGAGTGATCTGGCGGTCCTAGCGAGATATTCCGTGGGTTATCTGGCGGGCCTAGTGTGATATTCAGTGGGTTATCTGGCGGACCTAGCGAGATTTTCCCTGGGTTATCTGGCGGACTGGCGGGACTAGCGAGATATTCAATGGGTGATCTGGCGGGCTTAGCAAGATATTTCGTGGATGATCTGGAAGGCGTAGCAAGATATTCCGTGGGAGATCTGGCGTACCTAGCGAGATATTCAGTGTGTGATCTGGCGGGCCTAGCGAGATATTCCGTGGTTGATCTAGAGGGCCTAGCGAGATATACTGTGGTTGATCTGGCGTGCCTAGAGATATATTCCGTGGGTTATCTGGCGGCCATAGCGAGATATTCCGTGGATGATCCTGCGGACCTAGCGAGATATTCAGCGAGTGCTCTGGGGGGGCGTAGCGAGATATTCCGTGGGTTATCTTGCGGGCCTAGCGTGATATTCAGTGGGTGATCAGGCGGGCCTAGCGAGATATCCCTTGCGTGATCTGGCGAGCCTAGCGAGATATTCCGTGGGTGATCTGCCGGGCCTAGCGAGATATTCAGTGAGTGATCTGGCGGGCCTAGCGAGATATTCAGGGGTTATCTGGCTGGCCTAGCGAGATATTCAGTGAGTGATCTGGCGGGCCTAGCGAGATATTCCGCGGGTTATCTGGCGGGCCTCGCGAGATATTCATTGGGTGATCTGGCTTGCCTAGGGTGATACTCAGTGAGTGATCTGGCGGGCCTCGCGAGATATTCACTGGGTGATCTGGCGGGCCTAGCGTGATATGCCCTGGAATATCTGGAAGGCGTAGCGAGATATTCCGTGGGTTATCTGGCGGGCCTAGTGTGATATTCAGTGGGTTATCTGGCGGGCCTAGCGAGATATTCCGTTGGTGATCTGGCGTGCCTAGCGAGATATTCCGTGGATGATCTTACGGGCCTAGCGCGCTCTTCAGTGATTGATCTGGCGGGCCTTGCGAGATATTCCGTGGGTTATCTGGCGGGCCTAGGGTGATATTCAGTGAGTGATCTGGCGGGCCTTGCGAGATATTCCGTGGGTTATCTGGCCGGCCTTGCGAGATATTCCGTGGGTTATCTGGCGGACCTCGCGAGATATTCACTGGGTGATCTGGTGTGCCTAGCGAGATATTCTGTGGGATATAACTGGCGGGCCTAGCGAGATATTCAGTGGGTGATCTGGCGTGTCTATCGAGATATTCATTCAGTGATCTGGCGGGACTAGCGTGATATTCCGTGGGTTATCTAGCGGGCCTAGCGAGATATTCATTGGGTGATCTGGCGGGCCTAACGAGATATTCCGTGGGGGATCTGGAGTGCCTAGCGAGACATTCCGTGTTTGATTTGGCGGGCCTATCGTGATATTCATTGTGTGATCTGCTGGGCTTAGCTTGATGTGGCGGGCGTGGCGGGGGTGATCTGGCGTGTAGCAGATATTCCGTTGGTTATCTTGTTCCTATTCATTTATCTGCCGGTGATCTGGCGGCGTGCCTAGTGCGATATTCAGTGGGTGATCTGGCGTGCCTCGCGAGATATTCCGTGGATTATCTGGCGGGCCTAGCGAGATATTCCGTGTGTTTTCTGGCGGGCCTTGCAAGATATTCAGTGTGTGATCTGGCGGGCCTAGCAAGATATTCCGTGGATGATCTGAAAGGCGTAGCGAGATATTCCGTGGGTGATCTTGCGGGCCTAGCGAGATATTCCGTGGATTATCTGTCGGGCCTAGCGAGATATTCCGTGGATTATCTGGCTGGCCTATTGTGATATTCTGTGGGTTATCTGGCGGGCCTAGCGAGATATTCCGGGGGTGATCTGGCGTGCCTAGCGAGATATTCCGTGGATGATCTTACGCGCCTAGCGTCCTATTCAGTGAGTGATCTGGCGGGCCTAGCGAGATATTCAGGGGTTATCTGGCTGGCCTAGCGAGATATTCCGTGGTTGATCTGGAGGACCTAGGGAGATATACCGTGGGTGATCTGGCGGGCCTAGAGAGATATTCTGTGTGTTATCTGGCGGGCCAGCGATATATTCAGTGGGTGATCTGGCGGGCCTAGCGGGATATTCCGTGGATGATCTTGCGGGCCCAGCGTCATATTCAGTGAGTGATCTGGCGGGCCTAGCGAGATATTCAGTGCGTGCTCTGGCGGGCATAGCGAGATATTCCATGGATGATCTAGAAGATGTAGCGAGATATTCCGTGTGGGATCTGGCGGGCCTAGCGAGATATTCAGTGTGTGATCTGGCGGACCTAGCGAGATATTCATTGGGTGATCTGGAGGGCCTAGCGAGATATACTGTGGTTGATCTGGCGTGCCTAGAGATATATTCCGTGGGTTATCTGGCGGGCCTAGCGAGAAATTCCGTGCGTGATCTGGCGGGCCTAGCGAAATATTCCGTGGGTGATCCGCCGGGCCTAGAGAGATATTCAGTGAATGATCTGGCGGGCCTAGCGAGATATTGTGGGTTATCTGGCGGGCCTAGCGAGATATTCAGTGAGTGATCTGGCGGGCCTAGCGAGATATTCCGCCGGTTATCTGGCGGGCCTCGCGAGATATTCATTGGGTGATCTGGCTTGCCTAGGGTGGTATTCAGTGAGTGATCTGGCGGTCCTCGCGAGATATTCACTGGGATATCTGGCGGACCTAGCGAGATATTCCGTGCAATATCTGGAAGGCGTAGCGAGATATTCCGTGGGTGATATGGCCGGCCTAGTGAGATATTCCCTGGATTATCTGGCGGGCCTTGTGTGATATTCAGTGAGTGATCTGGCGGGCCTAGCGAGATATTCCGTGGTTGATCTGGAGGGCCTAGCGAGATATACCGTGGGTGATCTGGCAGGCCTAGAGAGATATTCGGTGGGTTATCTGGCGGGCCAGCGATATATTCCGTGGGTGATCTGGCGGGCCTAGTGTGATATTCAGTGAGTTATCTGGCGGACCTAGCGTGATATTTACTGGGTGATCTGGCGTGCCTAGCGAGATATTCTGTGGGATATAACTGGCTGGCCTAGCGAGATATTCAGTGGGTGATCTGGCGTGTCTATCGAGATATTCATTGGGTGATCTTTCGGGCCTAGCGAGATATTACGTGGGTGATCTGGAGGGCCTAGCGAGATATTCCCTGGTTGATGTGGCGGGCCTCTCGTGATATTCATTGAGTGATCTGCTGGGCCTGGCGTGATATTCAGTTGGTGATGTGGCGGGCGTAGCGAGATATTCACTGGGATATCTGGCGTGCCTAGCGGGATATTCCGTGTGTTATCTTGTGGTCCTAGCGTGATATTCAGTAGGTTATCTGGCGGACCTTGCGAGATATTCCGTGGTTTATCTGGCGGGCCTAGCGAGATATTCAGTGGGTGATCTGGCGTGCCTAGTGAGATATTCAGTGGGTGATCTGGCGTGCCTAGCGAGATATTCCGTGTGTTTTCTGGCGGGCCTAGCGAGATATTCACTGGGTGATCTGGCGTGACTCGCGAGATATTCCGTGGATTATCTGGCGGGCCTAGCGAGATATTCCGTGGATTATCTGGCTGGCCTATTGTGATATTCTGTGGGTTATCTGGCGGGCCTAGCGAGATATTTCTTGGGTGATCTGGCGTGCCTAGCGAGATATTCCGTGGACGATCTTACGGGCCTAGCGTGCTATTCAGTGTGTGATCTGTGATCTGGCGGGCCTAGCGAGATATTCAGTGAGTGATCTGGCGGGCCTAGCGAGATATTCCGTGGTTGATCTGGCTGGCCAGCGATATATTCCGTGGTGATCTGGCGGGCCTAGGTGATATTCAGTGAGTGATCTGGCGGACCTAGCGAGATATTCACTGGGTGATCTGGCGGGCCTAGCGAGATATTCAGTGAGTGATCTGGCCGGCTTAGCGAGATATTCCGTGGGTTATCTGTCGGGCCTACTATGATATTCAGGGCGTTATTTGGCGTGCCTAGCGAGATATTCCGTGGGTTATCTGGCGGGTTTAGCGACATATTCAGTGGGTGATCTGGCGGACCTAGCGAGATATTACGTCATCTGAAAGGTTTATTCATTCTGTTGCCAAGAAACAACCAACATCTGCGGCTGGAATTCAAACCCGGTTCACGATTACTCTTTTGTCTAACTTGTCACCCTTACGATATCCTGCACATTCAAATTACGGAATTAAATATTTTCTAAATGAAGAGACTGATAAAATATTGTGTTCAAAATATTTACTGCAGAAATATTTCTTAGAATGCTGTTGGTCACGAGTGTCATAACTCAGTCGGGTCATTGGTTAACCGCATCTATTGTAGCCGTAGCATCAGAGGGTGTGTCTAGAGCCAGATAGTCTAACGGATATTTTCTATCTTCAGATTTTAAATTCAAAGTTGTCCTTACAATCTGGTTGCTACTTAGATCTAGAAAACCCAGTGTCTTGCTATTTAACTCATAACTGAAAGGAGAGTCTGTTTCATGCCTTTCTCAATGACATTTCTGTGAAAGTCAGTATAACAGATTAGCGTAGAATTTGAACCCGGCTCGCCCCTTCCAATTTCAGCGCTGATGTCCGTTACACTCCTCGAACAATTTGTTATCCCCACAGAATTAAATACTTGTCTGTCATGTGAAATCAATTGTGACATTTTGGTAATTTTGGTTGAAGTAAACTGAATTGTTACGCGATATATGACCTTCTGTTTGGCAGAGAATCCTGGACAATCTCCTCAAAGACTCGAAGCAACAGAAATGTGGTTCTACAGAAGGATGCTAAGGATACCATGTATCGGACATGTGAGGTTTTGGAGAAAATGGAAACAAAAAGGAAACTCACACTTAACATCAAGTAGAAACAGTTGAAATTTCTAAGAACATAATGTGGAAAGAGGGCTCGGAGAATCTCATACTCACAGGAAAAATTGAAGGCAAGAGGGACAGAAGAAAACAACGTATAACATACTTAGTGAGCTTGAGCAAATGATGGTGGAAGAGGGTTTGGAAGAAAAATCCAAAAGACAAAGTTATTAAAAGCTACAAGGGACAGAAAGATGTGGAGGGCCATGATCGACTACGTCCTGAAAGGACACGGCACATAAAAGAAGAAACGTGATAAAGAGTTTGAAATAAAGAAGTTGAGAGCGTGTTATGTGAAATGGATTTATTCTTTGTTGAAAGAAAATCTGTGCGAATCAAAAATGGAAGTTTTAGGAGAAAGGCGGATTCTTTTGACAGCGTTGAATAACATCAATGAAGAATGAGCAGGGTGCCGTTGAAATTGGAATCTGGGTGGGTCTGATAAAAAGTGAAAAGGATATACACAAAGGAATTGAGAAGAGTAGTAAAGAAAACCATTATATATATATATATATATATATATAGAGAGAGAGAGAGAGAGAGAGAGAGAGAGTGAGAGAGATACAGACAGACAGACCAGGGATTATAAAACGTTACTGGCCCACTTCCTAAAATATGAACAAATAAATAAAATGCCAGAATTTGTAGGGGAAACTTTCAGAGGCCCTCGTGTGATACCAGTGACTGGCCGTTTCATGCCTTAAGTGGCCTGACGATCATTTAAAGTATGACCATTCCTGTCATATTTGTTCACTAGTATTACAATAAAAATTAAACCATATCTAAAATTGTCAAAGAATCGATGAAATAAGCGAATGATATACATATATGTAATTTGTAAAGAAGTGATGGATTTTTTTTTATCCGACAGATTTTATTACATTAACGTTATTTTTTTTAATGGATACCCATATTTAAGTAGACGCATAGTTTATTTAATAAACAGTACATTTTTTTTTGTCTACGGGCCTGAATATTCGAGAAATCTTATAAAAGAAAATATGTGCTCTCCTGTAGGGATATAAAGCTTCCCCCACCCACTTGGCAGGAGAAACCGTCTTTAGATCCGACATGCTTTTTGACCGTCTCGGCCACAGAGGTCGTTGCCGATTAAGAAACGTTAAATTGTGCTTTATGAATGCAAATTTTTCTCAGACTTTCGAAACATTCATATATACTCAGTTTCAGGCCGTTAGACGGTAAACTACATCCGTGTCCTGGGTAAGACGATAAACTACATCCAGCAGCAAGGCCTCCGATCGGGAGGTTTTGAGGAGTGTGGAACCACCTCCTTTATTGCTGATGTTCCCAGGTCCACCCTGACCCGGGGTGGCAGCACCTGTTAGGGTCCCATCTATGGGCAAATAGTTAACCCCCAAACTGGGATCAAAGCACCATGAAACTGTAAAAATAGGTCTTAATACCAGAAAAACTTTGTAAAAAAAAATTATTATCAGCAATACATTTTTGAAAAACAAATATTACCAGCTATACATTTTTTTTTAAATATTACCAACGAAGGAAAAATATTATCAGAAATAGATTTTTTGAAGGAAAAAATGTTACCAACAATGAAAATGTTGTCGGCATTAAATAACCCATTGAGGTTGCTTTTGCCGTAAAACAAAGCAAAGCAAATCGGTAGACGAAAATAAATTTATTGTCTAATAAATAAACGAAGCTTCTACTCAATTATGGATATCCACTAAAAATAACGTCGAAGTAATAAAATACATATATATTTATGAAAATCTATGGCAGAAAAGGTTTTCTTGAGATACGTCTCGGTCTTTACGACTTCATCAGACTAGACTGATGTTTAAGTTCATATCATTACATATGCTCCCGAAGGAGAGGGGACATTGACACATTATTTTCATATGTGTTTTGAGTATATATAAATATTTTAAATATGTGTTTTGGGTATATATTCTTATTCAACGCGAAACAAAAGGCTCGTAAAATATTTCAAAAATAAAAAGAAAATGGACCATATTCTGACAAAATCAACAAATTACAATTTATTGTTCTACCCACTAATTTTATTGCAACTACAATTGAAAATAATTTTCTATACTTAATATAAAATTTGTAACAACTACTTACAAAACAATAAAAGACATAATTAATACAAAACAAAATAATAAGCTACAACTTGAAGGAGGAATTTACTCCATTACCTGTAATGATTGCGACAAGGAATACATAGGAGAAACCCCAAGGAATTTAAATAAAAGATTATAAAAGATCCTTTACAAAATAATACACTCACTTCACAAGTTGCTTATCCTAATGAGTCTGAACATAATTTTTATTTAAAAAATGCTACTTTAATTAAAAGAGAAAGCAATTTACTAAGACAAGAATGTACACAAAGTGCTCTAATCGCTAGCTCATCCACAATAAATATATGTCTATATTCTTACAACATTTCACCTTTGTAGGCAGATCTTCTAAAATGATAAGAACATAAACAAAAAGAAAAACAAACTAAATCAAATATATACCCAAAGTACTTATTAAAAAAATAAATTTCAATTTAAAATTTCAACGCCCCTTTTCCTTTGTGTAGTGGCATTAACGTAAATACCATTTTAGTCTGATGACGTCCTAAAGAACGAAACGCGTCACACGAAACCTTTTTCCACTTTGTCATAGATTTCCTTCAAATTGCTCTCGATAGATAAAAATATATCCTTTTCCCTGATATTTTTATAGTTTCTAACCAATTATGTATATGACTGAATTAACAACATTTTTCGTATGTGTATGTATATGTATATAAAGTATGAATATATATCTGTATTTTACTTATTTAGTCGCTATCTAGTAATGGGTAAGAGTGTGTAAAAGAGAGTAACAATAATGGGTGTATGAATATATTACCGCGTAAATCCAAATTGGGGTATAAATGCCAGAATTAAAAACAGCGTGTCATCATTATGACTGGGAAAAGTCCGTTCTCTGTCGTTCATTCTGTTGGAAAGCAAAGCACAGTTGATAATAGAAACAATGAACAGAATCGAGTTTTACATGAAAAACCTAAGAGAAGTATTCGTAAGGGTCTTGGTGTTAATTTACCTAACGTGTAATGTAGGGCAGATCTAATAAATCCTCAAAGACATACTGAATATTCGCCAAAACTTTAATATATCAACTACTGCAACTACTCCAATGTTGCCACATCTACACAAAAAATGTAAGACCCTAGCAGGACTAAAAAGCCACATCCATTCTGTTTATATTTGAGAAGAAATCAAGCGATGTCATCAATTGAAATCAAGTAGCAGCCATTATATATGTATGTATGTGTCCTTCGCATTAAATGACAGTATTTGACTCCAGAAACTGTTATCCAGCAAAAATCTGAATGCAACAGTAATGAAACAATAATAATCTTTAACATTGACGTGTAGAGGTTTGGTGATGTTTAGTGATGCCCAGGACCAACTCTTTGATTATATGCCTTGAGGACTCAAGTAGGGGGGGGGGTGGCTATAGGGCCTAGTACTGAGAAATTTGAGAAAAGAAGACGTTTTAAATATATAAAATCAGATGAAACATGAAATAAACACTTTATTTCAAATTTCAAAAATAATTTTTTTATTTCACTCTTTGATTGGATACCCTCTTGATATCGATTCTCAGGGTAGTCACACTCATTGCAACCCCCCCCCCCGTCTACACGCTATTGATCTCTAACCGGATGCGATGGGTAGAACACTTTGGCAGAATAGCGGATAGCAGGATCCCCAAACAACTTTTCTACGGGCGACGGAAGACAGGAAAGCGTCAAGAACAACACAGAAATTAGGATGAGGCCGGGGCTAGCCTTGATTTTCTCTTTTAGGTCAACCTACGTCACATCGGGGGGGTTTCCTGTGGAACCCTTCCCTTGGTTAGGTTAGACAGGCTTTTGTGTATCTAGTTAATGTGAGTAAGTGTTGTTCCTGGCCTGCTCCCGGCTGCATCTTTAGTTATGATCCAAGTTGAGCTTCTCAATCTCTCCAGTTTGTTTGGGGCCCCTTTTTTCATCTCGACTGAGTCAGTTTTTATATTTTCCATCTCCGTATATATATTTTCTCTTTTCCCACTCCCTTAGCGAGAGAACCTCTTGATTTTGTCCAATAGGCAGAATACAGCGAACTCTCATTTT